ACGCTGCCTCGTATATCGAGGCCCCCGAGCTGCGGGACGCCGCTGCCCTCTTGCATGGCAGCGGAGGTCAACAAGTGACGCTCCAGGTGCATGCGCGCAGGCTCTGTGCGGCGACGGTCGCATTGACCCAGTGGATATGTGGATCACCTTGCCCAAATGGAGACAACCATCATCTTGGGCAAAGTGCAAGAACCCCGTGTATCGTTTACGACTTGCTCTGTGCGGCCACCCACTAGACACACGGAAAGTGCCGCAGGACGTCTACGACAAGCGTTTGAATACGATTCGACCTGCGCTTCCCGAGCATGGCCACAACCAAGAAAAGAACTTCGCCTGCATCTTTGCATCCTGAAGCCGAGCCTCAAAGTATTTGACCACCGGGTCAGGTTGAGCGTGTTCAAGGGCGCCTCGCTTAGCAAAATAGTATGCCCAACGATTGCCCATGACAAATTCCCATGGCAACTTCTTTTCCTCAGCACAGTCGACATATTCATCATCTGTGAGGTGCGCTGGGCACCACAAACAAGAAGGTCGGCCTTTTCCTCCAGGATACCTTGCCAGGATGGATCGCCAGATGTCGGCGTAGGCCGCTTGAGCATCAGCAAGTTCAGGTGACCAGCTGTCTGTTTCTTTAACGAGACCCAGGAGGTCTGAAACAAGCAAATTGACATGCGGCAAATGACGGAGGGCTTGAAGGACAGCAAATCGTTCAGCTCCTCCCAGTCTGTATAGGCCCCCATCGTGGTCCAAACAAGGCTCTCATGGGCATCCCATTGTCCCCAAGTTGAACTACTGACCAGCCGCATCTCTTTAGCTCTGGCCAACTGGGGGCCGTCCCAGAACCATCAGTGTAACATACCCCTCTCCAAAAGCTCCGATCAGATTCCCAATCTCCCCAGAAAGAGAACTCCAGGGCTGATGGGCGTCCCAACCGAGGTCTCAAAGTAGTCATAGTCTTGCTGTCCTCCGCCTGGTTGCCCTTTCTCACTAGGATAAGATCGCGCGTAGTTAAGATCTGGATCCCAATCGAGGTCGGGATCATCATACACATCATGATATACATCAGGACACTCGTAGAACTCATGCCCGATGGTGGCCTTGTCGGCCGAGCACCAGCAACAGGCAGGAGATATGCTATAGCCAGCACGTGCAAGACGGCCACGAGACCATAGCGCACCTGGCCACAGCGAACGAAGTGCAACAGCGAATCTCTCATTCTTAATCACCGCCTTACCTCCTCCAATGCACTTCCTGAGCGCCTTCGTCCAGATGATCTCTCCTCCTACACATACCTCCTTGTGATGTTCAAGAATCTGTTGAGATTGCCATCGCTCGATTTCTTGGCGCACAAGTTCCACGGCCGAGCGTGGAGGAAGACGGAGAAGATCAAAGTGGTGGCCACCGTACTGGAAAATATATCCCAGTCTATCCTTGCCAGCGTTAACATAAGCACTGCTATTGGACCTTTGGCTGATGCCCAGGAAGGCCGTGACGAACAAATTTCCCGAACTTTGTGCCGCGCCCCCTGAAGCCTCCCAAGACTAACCCTCTGGCCCCAGATGAACGACGCATAAGCCCGTACAGGATCCAGTGTAGCATCATATATGGGGTCGTACTTGGCGCCAGCCTGTGTGGCAAATACAAGCGTGAGGGAGGAAGACTTACTAGGCCGCCCCGCCAACATTGCTGCCGTCTGCCGCAGCTTGGCCAGCTCACTGTTGTTGACACCTGAAACTGTGGCTCCATGAGCAGCAGCTGGCATGAGACCTGTCCTCCATAAAGCCGTCACCCGATTGCTAGCCCCACGTCTCAACATCTTTAATCTGGGTAGCCTATCTCCTAGCTGCTTCAACCTGGCTTTGGCTTGCTTTCTGATCGGCCCGGGCCCGCTGAGCTCATGCCCCAGATTCCTCGCCCAAGACTTCGCCTTCAAGTGAATGTTCTGAGCAAGCCTTCCAAACCCATGCCTAGCCGATGCAGCCGTAGCCACCCACCCAGATTTTTTGACCTGGGGCAAGAGACCGAGCCTGGACGTGTCCTTCACGAAGCTCTGGACCCCCTTGAACAACTCATGAGCGGCGTCCTCCTTGGGCCCAGTCCACTGAAGGGTGGAGTCATCTACCAAGGCCCTGGGGTTCACGTTGGGGCTCACCTGGGTAACTTTATGGATAGCTCTATATGTCAAGATAGACCGCATTTTAGTAGCATGCGTGCATCCCGCAAGTGTATACCCTGCAGAGCCCGAAACGGTTTGCTCCAGCACCCAAAGGCCCTAATAACTCTAGGTTGTGAGTACGAGTCCAAGAGCATCCAGAGGAGCCTCATGGGGAACTGCATGGACCTAGCCTCTATGATGAGGGCGTCATACATGACCGTCTCAAAACATTCCCACATATCTAAACATACCGTGATTGAAGATTCGCCTAGTCGATCAGCTATTTCAGCCTGTATATTATGCTCATGAGCCGAGAAGCTGGATGAGTAGCCGCGTCGGTTGCCCCAAATACACCTGCTACCATGATCTCGAACCCACCTTCTGGAAATCGGTCGGCGAGCTCGGGACCAAAGACGGACTAGCGACTCGACCAAGGTGATAAGACGTGTTCCCCCATCAGGTTTTGCTAATCTAACCATCTCATTGACTATTCTGTCAGACGGCCACACCAACATATGCTCGCACATCGTAAAAAGAGCTGCAAGGGCAACCAGGCCTGGCTGCGAACGATACCAGAAAGCGCGAGGATGCAGTCGCGCGGGACCTACGACGTTTTCCATGGAAAGGTAAGCGCCGCATCCTGAAGGTCCTCAGGCCGCAGCTTCGGTAGCAGATCCCAGCTCTGATAATCGGCAGGCATCTTGTTGCTCGCCACCTCATGACAACTCCATACCCCGCTCCAGCACTCAAGCTCTCTGTCAGCAAGTTGGTACGGCTGAGAGTTACCAGTGTGAGTGACAGCAGCTTCCAATGCCTTCGCCTTCGACGCTCGATGTGCAGCACCAGCTCCTTTCTCGAAAGCAGACCTGACCCATGAATGCCAAGATTTGTCAGCCTCCTTCTGATGCACCATCATCATATCATCAGCAACTTCCACAATCTTGAATGCCAATGTCAGAAAATCAGGTCTGACCATCATAGTGAAATCTCCAGAAAGCAAATCAACTGCCCAATCATCCAGCTGCGCATTGTTCACCTTCTTCAAGAAGTGGACCACATCAACAAGTGATCTCGCCAATCTTGCAGCTGGTGTGAGCAACTTGTGAGATCTAAGATCTTCTTCACAACATGTACGTGGTTGTGCAGACTGTTGTTCACGTTTCAACTGTTCTGACCGCGTTTTCTCCGACTTCACCCCTCGCGCCGGTACTTAGGTCGCAAGTGTGGCCTTTTGGCTTTGACCTTCTGCCAAGCCTCCTCCATTTCTTCATTCGTAGTCTCCAATGCCACGACCTTGTCGGAGTGCGGACTCGTGTAGTCAGGAAGGTAAAACTTGCCAGCACTTCTACCCTCAAGCTTGAACGCCTCAACCATCTTGCACCAAAAGGCCCGCACTTTCATAAGATGCTTAGCCCAGCGCGCAGCCTGAAGCCAAGCTCGAAGTCGCGGCCCATGCTGTAGTCGCACCTGTCGCGGATTCCATTGCGCCTTGACGTACTTAGTCTGCACTGATCCTCCTCTTCCAAGGTATCTCTCATGACCATCTCCTACCTTGTCATACCGTGCGCACAACTCCTGCTCAACTGCCAGCAAAGTCATATCCCATGCGTGCTGCAATGAGGCCTGCCCGTCAACATCCTCTATCGCCCTCATGACTGGCGCCCAATTCACAGGATACCTGGAACAGCCAACATTTGGTCCTTTCGGGAGCTGACGAGGTTCAACAGGCAAGCGCAACCATATATCATTATCTGTCTTTGCAAAAGGAACGGCCACAGGCGAATGCGTGGGTATAATCTTGTCATCCGAGATCATGGGGGCACCAGCTCGCGAAGCCAGCGCCTGACTAAGAAGAAACCAATCATAAGTACGACCTTCAGCTTCTTTGTGAACTCTGCACGTAGCACCACCAGGTACCAAAAACATCGCCTGAACCTGCTCAAGCCATTGCTGCCCACGAAGCTGATACGACTCAAGATTCCAATCACCTCCCACCACCCATGGTCTCGAAAGAGAGTTAAGCCTGCCAAGATACTTTGCCAACTTATATAATAGGGACTGGTTGTAGACACCAATTCCAACCGAGTCTTTGAGATAGAGCGATACAAGAACAACTCCGCCTTTGCAGCCCCAGTTGACCTGTGCAGCCACCGCTCTTGCTGGCCATAACGTTGGCGACGATAACAGTGGCGGCGCCGTGATCATCACAAAGGTCGGCACCAACACCGGCACGCCCGAGCTGAGGCCGTCTGCTTCCGTACGCTCAGCTGCTGCATACACACCATGGTAACCAATGTTCTGGATCTGCTGCTGGAGCTCGGGAAGCATCTGGTGATCCGCCTTGTGCTCTTGAACCAATATTGCGGCATCACGCGCTTGTTCAAGATACTGCAGCAAGGGCCCAGACGCATCAGTGTTGACGGTGGTATTGCGTCCATTCATGGTGTTGCCGCCAGCTTCCTTTCTGGCTTGATTCACATCACTGTACTCTCCAGTTGCAGCACAAGATCCGCCCACTGATGTAGCCGAACTCGAACTTCCACTGAAACCATCAGAAAACATTACCTGCCTGGAAGAAGAGACTACCAATCTCTTCAAATCCAAACCACTTCCTCCAATATTCGACGCCATGAGCAATAACAATACCATAACAATCTTCACGTATGAACTGCATCTCCTAATACACCTGGAAGCTGCCGAACTTGGTCTGCTGCCTGAGCTGCAAGAGCTTCTTCGCCGCCTCCCTGAGGTCGGGCTTCTCAGTCGGCACCTCCACACCAGCAGCTTCCAACATCGTGGAGAGCGCCTCATCACTGGCCTCCTCAAAAGCCTTGTCTCTGGCATCCTGCTCCTCAGCAGCCCGTTTTGCAGCAGCCTCTTCAGCAGCTTCAGCATCGCGCTTGGCTTGTAGCTCACGTGCTGCACGAGCGGCAGGATCATCAGCTGACCCAGCAGCAGGAAGACCAGCCCTGCCAACGACGGTGACCTGGGCATTGGCAATGATGGCAGGCAGCTGATTGGCGATGCCTTCCACCAACTTATCAGCATGCTCACCTGCCCCAAGATCTCGTAGTACTTGTCCAAGCTTTGAAGCGTCAAGCCCAATAGCTGCAACCTGCCCAGCACCTTCCTCACTGGGAGCTCCAGGAGGCTTGACTGAGGCTTGTGCAACCTCCAATGCTTGCGCACGCATCTCATCGAGTTTGATTTTCTTTTCGGCCACCGCTTTCTCAGACTCATCAATCTCATTTTGCAGCTCTTGTAGCTGCACGCGCTTGTCCTCAATGTTTTTCTCCTGCTTTGCAATCTGGACACCCATAGCCTCGATCTTGCGAGTGAGATTGAGCATCCTCGCTGCTGCAGGCTTCCGCTTGTTGATGGCAGCCTGGAGCTCCTCACGTTCCGCCCCCAAACTGGCTTTGAGCGTGACCCAAGCGAGGCCCTCGCACTTGCTGGCCATGTCCAACTGCTTGTCCAGTTCGGCCAGTCGTGTTCGAGCCTTTCCTTCATCGAATTGACCATCATTGGCGATAGATGTGCCAGCGTCGTCTCCAGCGTCCACGTCCATGGCCTCGTCTGTAAAACGGACCTTCTTGACTCCTGGCTTGTCGCGCTGCTCACGCAACTGTGCCTCCAGCTTTTTGATAGTGTCCTGCGCTGCTTGGAGCTGCAGCTTAGTCTGGTTCCACGGGGCCGCCTTGTCAGCCGAAGGACCAGCACGGACACTGGGAGACTTGTGCTCCTTGTAGCTGTGGAAGCACGCCCCTTTTGACCTTCTGCACTGGTAGCAGACGTCACGATCTGGTTTGTTGAAGAACTTTTCACCAGTGCGCTGGTGAATGCAGAACCTGCAGAACCAGGTACGCTGATCTGCAGCTGCAAGACCACCAGAGCGGCCAGGCGCCATGGCTGGGCCCGTCCGAACAGCACGCAGCGCGCCGTCCTGGGCCACCTTCGCAGCCAGGCTCGCGAACCCCCCAGCCCTTCTGAAGTGTCGGGATCCGCAAGCACAATTTGCTTGTGCCAGAAGGGCTGAGGAGGAGGAGGAGGAGGAGGAGGAGGAGGAGGAGGAGGAGGGAGGAGGAGGAGGAGGAGGAGGAGGAGGAGGAGGAGGAGGAGGAGGAAGGGGCGAGGAGGCGACGATGATGACGAGGAGGAGCAGGAGGCGAGGAGGCGCGGAGGCCTGCACGGGGCTGCCTACGCCCGTCTCGGCAGCATTCGCCGACGGGGGCCGACCTCTGCTCCACCTCCCGCCGGAGGTGCTCCGAGGCCCCCGCCGCGCGGCGCTGGGATGCCGGCGGGCCCTTTCGGGGCGCCCAGCGGCGTGGGCCCCGCGCCACGACACGCCGGCGCCGGGGGCCTCCGCTGCGCCTGCAGAGCCGATCCTTTCCTGCTGCTCCCGTTCGCGTCCCTCCCCCTCCCCAGAATCCCCCGTCCTCGTTCTTCCACCCACACAGTTTCCTCCTCGGTTGTCGTCGACGTCGTCGTGGTCCTCCTACTCGTCGTGCTCCTCCTCCTCCTCATCCTCGTCCTCCTCCTCCTCCTCCTCCTCCTCCTCGTCCTCCTCCTCCTCCTCCTCCTCCTCCTCCTCTGCTCAGCCCTGTCCTCCTCGTCTTCGTCTTCTTCTTCCTTCCTCCTCCACTCCACGCCGGTTAGGAGGGGGAGCGACAGGTGTCGGAAACAATGACGCAACACTTGCGCGCAACATCAACATTTTGTCTGAACTCCCCCCCTCCCCCGAATGCGGGGGCGGGGGACGGTTTTGCCTATTTTGTTCCATCGACTGGGGAGGGAGGAGAACGTCTTGGATCGGTGGCCGTTTCGAGAGTTTCCAAGAGGCGCCCCCACTTCGCCGCGCCGGGCCGGCTTCCGCAACTGAGAAGCGCCGCTGCCGCCCCCCAGGCGCTGGCGCTCTGGAATTCGCAGCTATCGGTGTCGGCCAGACCCCACTCGGCCGCGCGCAGAGGGGGGTATGGGGGAGGGGGGAGGGGGCAAACTAGGTGCGCTCGCGTCATATCTGACGTCCTACCCCTTCCATCCCTTACCATGTCGTCGATCTCTTCTATATTCGCACAATCGGATGTCGCAGCATGGCATAGCATTACATGGCATAGCATAGTGTCGAAGATCAACGCGTAGCCTGAAATAGCATGGCGTGGCGACGCCCCAAAGTGAGGGGGTTTCTGCGGCCCAGAAAATCAACGAATCGGCACCGAAAATATAATCACTTCTGATGGTTTCTTCGGGAGGCCATTTTTTAGATTCTGGGGCCTATTTGGAAGGACCGAAAACCATGCCGTGGCATGGCGCTGGAAAGAATGACGCCAGCGCTGCAGCGGGAGCACGATTCGGAACGAGCGGAAGCGCGGATCAGAGGCCAGCGCTGCAGCGGGAGCACGATGCGGAACGAGGGGTAGCCCGAAATTGAGGCCAGCGCTGCTGCGAGAGCAGCATTTGAAAACAACCAAGCGCGGAAGCGCGGAAATGAGAACGCGTAGCCTGACATAGCATGGCGTGGCGACGCCCCAAAGTGGGGGGGGTTCTGCGGCCCAGAAAATCAACGAATCGGTACCGAAAATGTCATCACTTCCGATGGTTTCTTCGGGGGTCCATGTTCCAGATTTTGGGGTCTATCTGGAAGGACCGAAAGCCATGCTGTGGCATGGCGCTGGACATAATGACGCCAGCGCTGCAGCGGGAGCCCGATTCTGAACGAGCGGAAGCGCGAAAATGAGGCAAGCGCTGCAGCGGGAGCACGATGCGGAACGAGGGGTAGCCCGAAAATGAGGCCAGCGCTGCTGCGAGAGCAGCATTTTGAATGATACCAGAGAAAAATCCAATCATAATCGTTTTAAGGCGAAAGGGCTATGGGGCTAAAAGGCTATAGGGCTACAGGGCTATGAGGCTCTGGGGCTATCGGGATATAGGGCTATATGGCTGTAGGGCTACAGGGCTGTAGGGCTATAGGCCCCAGGGCTATAGGGCTATGGGGCTATCGGGCTATAGGGCTATAGGGCGTGAGGACCCCTACAGAGGCAAGCTCTGATTGGGGGAAAAAACCAAGCGCGGAAGCGCGGAAATGAGGACGCGCAGCCTGACATAGCATGGTGTGGAGACGCCCCAAAGTGGAGGGGGGGGACTTCCGCGGCCCAGAAAAGCAACGAATCGGCACCGAATCTGTAATCACTTCCGATGGTTTCTTCGGGGGGGCAGTTTCTAGATTTTGGGGCCTATTTGGAAGGACCGAAAACCATGCCGTGGCATGGCGCTGAAAGTACTGACGCCAGCGCTACAGTGGGAGCACGATTCGGAACGAGCGGAAGCGCGGAAATGAAGCCAGCGCTGCAGCGGGAGCACGATTCGGAACGAGCGGTAGCCCGAAAATGAGGCCAGCGCTGCAGCGGGAGCACGATTCGGAATGAGCGGTAGCCCGAACACGAGGCCAGCGCTTCAGTGAGAGCAGCATTTTGAAAAAAACAAAGGCGAAAACCCGTTTCCCGGGAATCCTGTGTAAAAAAACAGTACGCGGAGGGGGGGTCGGACATTCCCCGGACGCCACCAGGGGAGAGAGGAGAGTATTATTCAGATTGTGTAATTGTCAAGGTTTCTTGGAAGGAGGCTTCTTCTTAGAAGGCGCGGGCCTTACCTTCAGATGTGAGGCCCGCGCCTTTGAGAAGCAGCCTCGTTCTAAGAAGCCTTCCCCCTCCCCCTACCCTCTGGTGCGCGTCGCCAACCCAAGTAGCTGATCTCTTGTGCGTTGTGCTTCAAGGAATGGGCAACGCGGCTCAAGGCTATTGTCGATACCAGTAGGCTCTGCTGGTCGCTGAGGCAGCCAGCTTCTTTCACGCTCTAGTTAGGGAATGCAGTGGATCACGCTGATCAGGGCTACTCAGATGGCATGGCAGGCCTCGCTGGATGTCAGTGCGGCTGGCTTTCCGTTGTACGCTCTAATTCGGTGAGCGGGGCAGACACGCTGATCAATGCCTGGTGGTGTGAGGGAAGTGAGGGGAGTGGAATGGGGTGGAGTGGGAGCGAAGTTTAGAGGGGGAGGTCATGGGGAGGGCGGGGGAGGCGAGGTCGAGGGGAGGGGCGGGAACGGGTAGAAGGGGAGGGGCGATGGCAGCATTCTGCCGGTGGAATTCGGATTTTTGTATCGTCTTCCACCCGCGCTCTCTGTTCTCCCGTCGGAATACTAATGAGCTTCGCGCCTGATAAAAAAGGTTGCAAGGCTGGCAGGCAGGTCCTATGTCCACGGTTGCCAGTTTGACTCCTGGCAGGCAGGTCTTAGGTTTGACTCCTGGCAGGCAGGTCCTAGATCCACGGTCCTGGGTCCACGGTATGCCTAGGTCCACAGTCCTAGATCATGTGTTGACCGTTTGCATTGGGCTTGATGGAGGAAGGGGAGGATTGGGGCCGGACGATTGCCGGGATCACGAAGGTGAATGGAGAAGGAGGAGCAGGGGGAGGAGGCGGTGGTGAAAGGGAATCCGCCGACCCTGCCGCCGTCGTCGCCGCCGCCGCCGCCGTCATCTTCGTCGTCGTCGTCGTCGTCGTCGTGGTCTCCCTTCAGGGTCGGCGGCACCGGCCGTAAGGCCGTCGCGCAAATCTGATGCCTGGGCCCTCCTCCCTCACGGACCAGCCCTCGATGGGCCTCTTTTTCACCACCACCACCATAAGATGGAGGGGGGTTGGAGATGGATGATGAGGAGGAGGAAGAAGAGGAGGAGGAGGAGGAGGACCAGTGGAAACCCAAGAGTCATCAACGATGTTGGAATAAACCCTCCCTCCAAGCTATCTTTTCATAGGCCACTACAACGGTTCATTTCCACTGAGCGAACTGCCTCGTTGGAAGACAACCGTTTGAGACCCTGAAGTATGCCAAAACATTGTTCTCGGGATTCCAGCGCCATGGGCCAACTTGACTGTTACGTCTTGGCGATCTTGTCAGAACGCCGTTTCTGGGACTTCAACACCGCGATTCAGCGTAACAGTTGCACCCTCATAATCCTGAGTCCGTCCAAAGCACTATTGCTGGTTTGTTGATCATGGGAATTTTTGTAAACGAATGCGCGCGGCGCTAGGGCGAGAGCCACATTTTGATAAATTTTGAGCAAGAGCCGCTGTCAATCCGCGAAACGTTTGTTTGCAATTTTGTTAAACGAATGCGTGGCGCTAAGGCGAGAGGCACATATTGAAAACGACCCGCCCTCAATCCGTGATGCTGTTGCACATCTTTCAAACGAGTGTGCGCGGCGCTGAGGCGAGAGCCACATTTTGAAAACGACCTGCCCTCACTCCGTGAAACTCTGGCACATTTTTAAAACGAGTGTGCGCGGCGCTAAGGCGAGAGCCACATTTTGAAAACGACCCGCCCCCACTCCGTGAAGCTCTTGCGCATTTCGTTAAACGAATGCGCGCGGTGGTAAGGCGAGAGCCACATTTTGAAAACGACCCGCCCACAATCCATGAAGTTCTTTATTTGCTAAAACGAATGCGTGCGGTGGTAAGGCGAGAGCCACATTTTGAGAACGACCCGCCCTCCCTCTGTGAAACTGTTGCCCATTTTTAAGCATCAAGGCCATCCATAAATAGTGAGGAGGTGTCAGGCGAAACGCCCGGCCCGCCCTGATCACTGGCCTCGGGGTGCGACAGGGATAAGTTATTTATAAGGAAAAGTCATGGAGGAGGAGTAGGACCATCTCCCCCTACTTCTGGTGGTGGTGGTGGAAAACAAGCCCGCCAGCCCTTGGGCTTCGCTGGCGGCGCGTCTCGGCGAGATCTTCGGGGAAAAAATAACGCTCGACAAGGCCTAGGCGACCAGGGAGCGCTCGAGAGCCACCTCGCCCCTCGCCGCAGCGACCCTTGCCCTGCTGCAGGCCTCCGCCGCCGCCCGCCTGGGGGGGGCGAAGTTCCCAGGCTGGCGAGATCTCCTCCCATGCCACGCGACTAGGAGGAGGAGGAGGAGGAGGAGGAGGAGGAGGAGGAGGAGGAGGAGGAGGA